GCATATTTTTTAAAGGTTTGGGACTTCAGCTGGTACAAATCAAAGATTAGGATAAAACGCGCAAAAATCTGAAAGGTTTGGGACTGCAGCTGCAATTATCCCTAAAAATAATTAAATAAAAAATAAAAACTATCATCTTCCACAACTACCCCATCCCCATCCCCATCCCCATCCAAACCCTTACTCCTACCACAAAACCTAACCCTAGCTACCCATCGTCGCCCATCGCCTTCGCCACCATCGTTGAATCCACAACTTTCGCCACCTCTGCTATCCTCTTCGTCACCGTCAAATGGAACCCAAATGAAAAATCAAAATCAAAGCCATCACCACCCCCAACTACAACGGCAAGCTACTCCGTCTGCATATGAAAATAACTGAAGTTCTGACCATTCACCATTCTAGAGTTTAATTTGCGGTCGCCGTTCCGCTATAAATGAGAAGGCATTTCTTCATTGAATTTCAAAATTCCCTTCAAATTTTGTGCGGCAATTGAGCACCAGAGCTTGGAGAAACTGCAACATGAGAGCTCCTTAGGTAGTAGTTGCTTCGCGGTCTAACAACCATTCCACGACGACGGTGACGACAGCTAAGGCCATTGAAAAAACTTGGACCAATAAACATATTTTGGTCGGGATAGATTTTGGACCAAGAAAGGTCGATAATTGATTCTGCTTATGCTGCAAATGTCCAAGAGAGCAATTCATTTGCTGTTTTTGCAATTATTGTTATTGGAGTTGCAATTGCTGTTGTTAGGGAGAGTAATTTTGGTTTTGGGTGGGGGTGGGGTTTGAATGGGATGGGATACGTTTGGAAGATGAGGGTTTTTTTATTTTTTATTTAATTATTTTTAAAAAATTTATATGAAAAGAGATAAAGTTATTATTTTACCCTTATAAAAATAATTGATAATGTGATCAAAATCATTTCATTGTTCAACTGACGAAAAAGTGGACGATTTCCGTCTAGATGGACCACAATTGCATGAAATGTTAGGGATCTTCGCTGGTACAAAATTGAGATTAGGGTAAAGTTTTAAAAAATTAAAAATATCAGGACCGTTGCTATGATTTTTCCTTATAATAATGATACAATATGATAAAAACATTTCAACACGTTAGCTGTACTAATTAGTGCAACATTTACA